AGTCAATGTTGATTACTTAACTTGCCATACAGTTTATTTGTTAGAGGCAGTCAGAACTGACTATTCATATCTACAATATTAAATGAAAGTTATCATTATTCCAATTTCTAGGTCTGTTAATTCTGAGCTTCTACTATCTCCAAATGTCAAATCTCAAGCTTCACAAGTTCATACTTTCTTTAAATCACTAAAGCCACTAATTTTCATATCTCCCAATTTTTGGGTTTCTGAATCCATAGATTCAAGTATTTGTAGGTGCTGAATTTCAATATTCCCAAATTCTTACGTCTCACAATTCTTAGATCCACAAATCCTCATATCTCCCAATTTTTGAACCTTAAAATCCTTATATCCTCACATTTTCAAATCCCAAATATCACAGTTCCCAAGTTCTTATATCTGCAAATCAGTAGATCTACAGATTCCCATACCCACTAATTCCTAGACCCCCAAATCCTGAAATTCCCATATCTCCAAATGCCAAATCTCAAGATTCCAAAATTCCTAATTTCCAAAATCTCAATATCTCAAAATCCCTAAATTCTTAACCCATCCTAAAATCTTCAAATCCCCATAAATCCCTAAAAATCAACAATTGATAGACCACCATTCTTCATCTATCGTATTACACCTAACTATTTAACAACTCTATAGCTAATATTAAAACTTGAATTTTCTTATTCTAACCATCAGAAGCTATTAAATGATAAAGAAGCTTCAAATAAGTTAATAATTTTGTGTCCCAAAGTAACGTTTACCCATTTTTGAATAACCCTGTAAGTGTGGGGATAATGTCATTGAACGCGAATTCCTCTGCGATGCTTTGAGCTGAATCGAGCCGTCGACAAGTGCACGTGGAAGGACACACACGGTTGCGTAAAGTTCTCGGCAACTTACGTGCTGCGGTAAACGTCCTGATAATTATGCAATTTATACGGGATAATTACACATTAACTGTGGCACCATGAGGGTCGGTCCGTGTTTTTATCGTCGAATGTTATTTACCTGGCGATGCACAGGGACCGTGACATTAAAAAGGTGCATATTTAAAATATGAACGCCAATTAATAACTCGTAAGTATTTCTCTGTGTGTGACAATGGTTTGTTTTGAACCTGATCATGTTTGTTTCAATGTTCGAATGTATTCAGTCGAAAATAATCTCGCTCGAGAGAAGTTTATTAGCTTAATTATGAGACTTTTATGATGTACTTTTGGTGCAATATTTCATTTAAATTCTTTAATTTTATTTAAGTATAAATTTGTCTATTAAGTTTGAACAGTGTATGTTTTATATAAATGTGTAAAGAATAAATTTTATGTAAACCTTCTTAATATAAATCTTTGGAAGACATATATTTCATATAAACCTACAGACATATGTTATATATGTTACACATATGTTATATATGTTATACAAATTTGTAAACAACATGTATTTTATACAAATCTCTAAACACCATATATTTTATGTAAACCTTCTTAATATAAATCTTTGGAAAACATATTTCATATAAACTTACAGACACATGTTATACATGTTACACATATGTCACATATGTTATACAAATTTGTAGATAACATGTATTTTATATAAATCTCTAAACACTATATATTTTATGTAAACTCATCAAGTTTCTAGTGCAAATAAAACTCAATACAAAATTCCATAATTACATGTATAAAATTAAATATCCACTTTAATGAACTTTTCGACGTAATTACAAACGTACCATAATAAATAATTTATACATAAAAAATAATAATTGCACATAGTTAGTATCGAGCAATAATTAAATATGACAGTGTTCGAATATTAAGGTCACGGTACTCCAATAAAAATGTCACGATAAATCACGCGTCCAGAAATTGAATCCAAGCATCCAGCTGAAATCACATTACAATGAAACATCAAGAGGCAAGATTTGAATCGGTTGATCGTTCTGGAACCAGCACAACAGGTTTATCGTGGCCAGTAAAACATTATCTGATCCCCGAACTATAAACGTTCACAAATTACCGCAGGAATTCCCGAAGCAGGCTACACTTCTAAATCAAGTTCCAGCCGGGTGTATCTCGACATCGATGGGAATTACAAGCGGTATAAATAAAACGGGTGTCCAGCATCGACGCGTCGCGTCGCGTTTACGTGGAAGCAACACGAAACGTATCGAGAGCGTAGATCCGAAGGTAGATATATTAAAAAGTTTGTAGCGGTAAAGTGTATTAATTGCCGAGCGAACCGAAAGATTACCGGACCAACCGGCTGCCTGTCTGAACTTAACAAAGGTAGACGATATACGCATTACCGTTATGTCGGCTCGCGGATGATGGATGAATAGGGTGTGTTAGGAAGCTAGGGAATGCTCGATAATGGTCTGCAAATAAGATACATTTTTTGGGAGATATTATAATATGGAAACTCATTTTTCAGATCATGTTCTTATACTTTCTAATGTAGAATGTGGGTATTTTTGTACTCATGAATATTCATATGTGTATAAAATTTAGGTATTTTTGAGATTAGAAATTTTTTAAATTAGCATTCGAATATTTTCAGAGTGAAGAATCTTTAAATAGAGGATTTGGATAAGTTGTCATACATTTTCAAATATAGGACTTGGGCATTTTCAGATTCATTCATTTTTATACATAGAATTTGGATACTTTCTAATTCACTAGTTTTAAGAAGTAGAATTTAAATATTTTGAAATATTTTAATTTCCAAATGTAGAAGTTGCCTACTGTTAAATTTATGAATTTTTAAGGATAGGATTTGAGCAAAATTTACAGTTTTAAATACTTCAAAATTGAGAAATTTATGAATCTGACAAACTATACATTAAAAGAAATTTATGAATTATAGAATATGGGAATTTATAAATTTGAGAATTTAGAAGTTTAAAGATTTCAAAATGTGAGAATTTGAGAGTTTGTGAGTTTGAGAGTTTGAGAATTTGAGAATTTGAGAATTTGAGAATTTGAGAATTTGAAAATTTGAGAATTGGAGAATTTGAGAATTACACAATTTGGGAATTCAGAAATTTATCAATTTGAGAATTTGAGAACTTGAGAGTTTCAGAGATTGAGAGTTTCAGAGCTTGAGAGTTTGAGAATTTGAGAATTTGAGAGTTTGAGGGCTTGAGAACTTGAGAGTTTCAGAGATTGAGAGTTTGAGAGCTTGGGAGTTTGAGAATTTGAGAGTTTGAGAGTTTGAGAGTTTGAGAGTTTGAGAGTTTGAAAGCTTGAGAATTTGAAAGCTTGAGAGTTTGACAATTTGACAGTTTGAGGATTTGAGAATTTGAGAATTTGAAATTTAAGAATTTGAGAATTTGAGAATTTGAGAATTTGAGAATTTGAGAATTTGAGAATTTGAGAATTTGAGAATTTGAGAATTTGAGAGTTTGAGAGTTTGAGAGTTTGAGAGTTTGAGAGCTTGAGAGTTTGAAAGCTTGAGAATTTGAAAGCTTGAGAGTTTGACAATTTGACAGTTTGAGGATTTGAGAATTTGAGAATTTGAAATTTAAGAATTTGAGAATTTGAGAATTTGAGAATTTGAGAATTTGAGAATTTGAGAATTTGAGAATTTGAGAGTTTGAGGGCTTGAAAGTTTGAGAGCTTGAGAGTTTGATACTTTGATACTTTGAGAGTTTGAGAATTTGAGAATTTAGAAATTTGAAATTTTGAGAATTTGAAAATTTGGCAATTTGAAAACTTGAGAATTTGAGAATTCAGAAATTTAGAAATTTGAAAATTTGAGAATATAAACATTTGAAAATTTACGACTGAGTATTTGAAAGTTCTCTAAAAAATAAAAGTTACATATCTGCTCTTCTAAAATCAAAAGCAAGCGTTATCTTACACCAGTTTTAATCCACAGGAAGTTTACATCGCACCTCGCTACACATTAACTGCGTAAAATGATCAGGTTGCCGTGGAAAAATAATTTATCCGGTTGTAGAAAGAAGTTCCTTTGATCCCTGCTGCACGTAATATCTGTAATAGCGATATTTTTGCAACACATAATAACGAGTACAACGCCTTCGAAGGTATCTTGCTCGGCGATCGATTTATTCATCGTACGAGTTACTCAATAGTCGATGGATGACACGCGTAGCTATGGATTATGCTAATTTTCTCATCTCTCTTTCTGTCTCACCTCCCTTCCCTCTTGCCTCGTCAACTTGTTCTTTTTCCTTCTTTCAAACATCACGGCAAAAATGATTAATGGAGCAATTCCGTTTCGAAATATCTGCGCTCTTCGACTGGTCTCGGTTTAACGCGCGTGTTTGAAGCACTTTGACATATTTAAACGAGCCGAACAAAGAGACGAGCCGAAACATAACATTCTGGTTGGATGAAGTGACACCAAGGGATGCTCGAATGCAGTGAAATTATTCCATTATGCAACCTGATGGGAGCAGTGTCGTGTATTATGATCGCATGTTAAGGGGAGGATGTAAGAGGATGTTCTCTTATGATATTTCGTTGTGAACTCTTTACGTGTGTTTTGTTTATTTATTACACATGAAAATCTTGAAGATCTAGTTGGATTTGAAAATATTTAATTTTTCAGTTCAATGAATTGTTTAGACTTAAGAATATTTATTTTTAAATTAACTGAGAATATGAAAAATAAAACTTTTCGTGATATACAAAGCAATAGAGGTATACAATTTTGACAATACTTTTTATAAAAAATGCAAAAGTGTTTGCATAAAATGTAATAATATGTACATATGTACATGTAGAATATTACCAAATATATTAAATATAATTTATACTTAAAGTTATGTACATGAAAAATATTCGTAGTATTATAAAGATTACAAGATAAAGAAAAATTAAAAATGATAAAGAGTTAACAAATTACTAATTAACAAATTTTATTCCTTTCAAGATGTTGCTCAGTGAATTTGCACTATTTTGAAATTCATGGCAGCAAATAATATTACAATTTATTATGTGGTGTGAATATATTGTTATCATTTTTTTTTTCAGAGCAAAATCCAAAAACGGCGGACGTCTGCTTAGGGAAAAATTGGAGAAAATTGGGTTAAATCTGCCAGCCGGAAGGAGGAAGGCAGCCAATGTTACGCTCTTAACTTCATTAGTGGAAGGTAAATAAACATATTCCTTTTTTATATTTCTACTAACAATTAATATTAAATTAATTAATAATGTTAAAGGGTGTTCAATTTACAATAGAATGTTTCAATATTTCACTTTTATGAGTAATAAAATACTTACTAGGTTCAACTCTATGTTCAGTTAATACTAAATATCCCAGAAATTAGATTAATAAATTTTTTATTACTTCCTTATATTAGATGCAGTTTTAGATACGCAAATATATTTGTTAATATATTGAGTACATTAAGTCTATTAAATATATTAAATATCTAAAGTATATTAGCAAACATAATTAATACTTGATATTAACGAATGCGTAGCAATATAACATGTGATGAATAAATTCATAAGAATACAACACGTGATTATCGAATGTCTAGCAATACAACGTGTGATTAACATACACGTAATAATATGACGTGTATTTATCGGATGCCTGGGAATACAATACGTGGTCAAGAAACACGTATCAGTGCAAGGCGTGGTTATCGAACTTCTATCAATATAACTCGTGATGAACAAATGTGTAACAATACAAGTAGCTATCTAGCAATACAACACGTGATTATCGAATATCGTGGTTATCATATTCCCAAATCCCCATATTCTCAAATCACAACATTTCTAAATCTCCATATTCCAAATGCCCACATTTTTAAATCCCCATATTCCCAAATCTCCACATATCTAAATCCCCATATTCCCAAATCCCCACATTTCTAACTTCCCATAT